TTCTATGACAACTTGGAGAGGACTCAGTGTGGCAGGAAAACTGTGAAAGGTGGCCGAGATGACCCTGTCCTTCACAGTCGCAGAGATTACAAATGGCTTTAGGCAGTGCAAACTGAGCTGAGCACACCTTCCAGTACAACATCTGTAAAGTTCTCTGGGGTTTGAGAGAATTTTGTACTGAACTATATCTTCCCATCAAAGTACAAAATAACATCAAGATGCAAAAGAAAACTTTATGCAATATTAAGAGGTGATATATGCTATAAAAATAAAATCAGACATAAGACTGAAAATTTATCCTTTTGAAATTTTAAACAAAGTGTTCAGAGAAAGTGTGGCTGAGGGGTTGACATTTGAATGCTGCTCCCAGGGCCAGATGGGCACTGGTGAGACTCCTGCCAATCTAACAGGGAACATCCAGGCAGAGTATGTAGCAAAGGAATTTACTGGGGCCAGGGTTTGAACAATCCCCAGGTACCACAAGACTCACAGTGCCCTGAATAGTATCTGCTATAATCATTCAGATTTCAGTGCAACCTTATAGGCAGGAGTCACAGAAGAGAGGGTGCAGGGTAGGAGCTGCAGACAGCCACAGTCATGCCTGACCAAGCCCCGTGATAGAGACACAGATGGCCTCATGGTTGCCTGGAGTCATCTGCATAATCTTAAGCCATGTTTGGGGACAGTGGGTCTGGAGGGTAAAAGACAAATGCATTTGGGCAACTAGATGTTCACGAAATACTCCGATGAGTCCAGGTAACATTATGAGCTATGAAGATGCCCCTTCCAAAGAAAACCATAAAGTGCAGGTACTGAAGCCTCTGTCCTCAGTCTCTTCATGAAGGAAAGCAGTAGAGAAACTGCTGTGACAGTAGGAGTATTGATGCATACAAGGTGTTCACATGTTCTGAATTTACACACTTGTGTGCCCAGAGCCAATCACCCTTTCCTCTCACTGTGGTGTCAGTGAGAGGGAGCAGAAAGTTCACACTAACGTACAAGGAAGGGTCACAATTATCCTCCCTCTAGGAAGCACTTTTGAGGCAAAGTGCTGGCTCTTGTCCTAGGAGAGAAGATGAAGATAATACACACTTATAATTAAAGACAAGGGACTGGAGCCCTCTATGGACCAACATTTTATGTTTTTGTCTTTCCATTCATTTGTCAATACAAAAAAAGCTTCCAATTATGTGAGGTGTTGCTATTTTTTTTGTTTGTTTTATGATGATGCAATATACATCTTTTGCCTTTCCAAGAACCTATGCTCCCATTGGAAATACATATTATCTATGCTTATCTGAGAGGTAAGGGACAGAGCCAGGTGAGTCTGAGGGAGCTAATGCCAAATTTTGCATGATCGTACTGATGATTGATTTTTATCTTAAGTGACTTTTATGCTAAAATATTTAGAGACATATTTTCATTTTTATCTGTACAATATTAGTTTGGAGAATGTAGTAGGACTCTCCTTTTAGTGCTAAGAGACTTGAGGCTGACGGAGTTATAATTGTTACCTGCCCAGCTCATCAGTGGGAACAATGCAATTAACTCTATTAGTTTTCTCTTTTTCGTGTCCTGATATTCTGGATGTGAGAAGGAAACTGGGGTGGATGAGAGTCAGTAGGAGAAAGGTGGCCGAGGAGAGGAGGGCATATCCTAGTGACTTAAAAGGCAGGTTTGGATCACACTCGCATCTCTTTTTTGTTTTGGAGAGGTTTTTGCTATATGGTGCGTGCACTTGCCAGACAGACAGAGAGAGACAGAGAGACAGAAAGCGAGAAATCACCCCCTAGGGGGATGGTCACGCCGCAATCCCTTCTCCTGCATTCTCCTCTCGGCATCTTGGGCATGCATGCACACGTGTCCGGCGTGCACACCGGGCCCGGGACTCGTACCACAGTTGACTACATGGGAGTCCAGTGACATAGCCATTATGCTAACTGCTGGTCCCAACACACTCACATCTCTTCATAATCACAGCTCAGTTACTTACGTATTGATGATAATATACATGGTAAGGTCTTTGACTTGACTAATATGCATTACATTCTTTCTTTGAAAAATCATGTCATACGCTATAAAGATGTACAGTGATTAAATGTAAATTAAAAAATTAGGAAAAAAACCTCATATTTAACAGTTGGTTTGCAGTTGAGCTCTTCTAAGACCTTTATATATTGGTTTTTCAGAAAAATCATGAAGTATTTTTCTATGATTTTTCTATCCAAAAATGTGTCATGACTTTTCCAATGACCCCATATATTTTTAATTGTTCTATTAAATGTCCAATAGACACAAAGTTTATTTGCTACAAATTTGTTAGATACAGAGACTCTCTCTGATCCAGTAACCCCTCTGGGTCACGTTGTAGGTGACATTCTCCCCATATTTACACAGTTCTGAAATGCTCTCTCACGTGTGAGTTTAGACTGCATGTAATGGGATCCATGCCATGTCCCCCTGGGGACCTCGTGTCCATCCAGTGCTCAGTCCATGAGACTCTCAGTGCCTTGCTTGTAGCTGTCACAAACCCTGCTGCCAGAGCACATTTGAGGTGCATTTTTCTGTCAGAAATAGGGCTGCTGTGCTTGCTTTCCCAGCATGAGGTGTTTACTCTTTGCTTTGTCCTATTCCTCATCATTCCTGTTACAAAGGGTGGAACCAGTGCAGCAGGCATGAGTGATCATATGTAACCTCACATGATTCACATCATGCTTTCCTTCATCATCACAGTTCCAGCCCTCAGGATGTCTTTCCCATGACCTCGGTCAGTGACCTGTCAATGTCTGGCCATGATTTTGATGATTACTGGCTTGCGGGGGCCATGTGGCCATGACCATGAGCAGGGTGTCACGGGTCGGGTCGTATGCTGCTGACTCCTCTTGGGGGAGAGGTGAAGTATGTCAGCATGGTACAGACCTCATTCTCAGTCTTGGTATTGTGTTTGCCCCATGCTTCTTGAAGTTGATTTTTTTTTTTATTATTGTAAAGGGTTTTGGTATTTCCAGTGCTCTTTACTTTTAAGATATATCCTTTTTTTTTGTCATTAAGTTAGATTCATATTCTTTTTATTAAGATTCTGTCAATCATGGACTATTCCACATGGTATAGTAATAATTTCAATTTAAAAAAAAAGATGGTCAGGAGATGAACTGGGGACCAGTCCCACAAGTTTATAAGTGAGTACCAACAGAACACAATCTGTCCAATGCTTATACCTCTTACATTTGAGCTTTCTAATCCTGGTATTGCTGTACTGATCTTGTCTTCAGAATTTACCAGAACCACATGCTTTATAAAGCATTGGTTATATGTTTTCCAAATTAATAAACTGGTTTAATTTCTTCTGGTAATAGACAAAAACTATATTCATCATGGCCTGGGAGAATCAGACTTTCAGCTCTGAGTTCATCCTGCTGGGAATCTTTGATCACAGTCCCACCCACACCTTCCTCTTCTCTCTGGTCCTGGGCATCTTCTCAGTGGCCGTCCTGGGGAACTCCATGATGCTGCTCCTCATCTGCATGGACGCACGCCTGCACACCTCCATGTACATTCTGCTGGGCCAGCTCTCCCTCATGGACCTCATGCTCATCTGCACCACGTGCCCAAGATGGCCGCCAACTACTTGTCTGGAAGCAAGTTAATTTCAGTGGCTGGTTGTGCTACACAGATTTTCTTCTATACGTCATTACTTGGCTCTGAATGCTTTCTGTTGGCTGTCATGGCTTATGACCGCTACATTGCCATTTGTCGCCCTTTAAGATACACTGATCTTATGAGCCCCAAGATCTGCAGACTCCTGGCCGCCTCCTCCTGGATCCTGGGCTCTACAGATGGTGTCATCGATGTTGTAGCTACATTTTCCTTCTCCTACTGTGGGTCCCGGGAAATAGCCCATTTCTTCTGTGACTTCCCTTCCCTACTGATGCATTCATGCAATGATACATCAACATTTGAAGAGATTCTTTTCATCTGCTGTATATTAATGATAGTTTTTCCTGTAGCAATAATCATTGCTTCCTATGCCCGGATTATTCTAGCTGTGGTTCGCATGGGTTCTGGAGAGAGTCGCCACAAAGCTTTCTCCACCTGCTCCTCTCACCTCATAGTGGTGGCCATGTACTACGGAGCAGCTTTGTTCATGTACATGCGACCCACCTCAGGTCGTTCCCCAGCACAGGAGAAGATGGTGTCTGTGTTTTACACCATCCTCACGCCCATGCTGAATCCCCTCATCTATAGCCTCCGCAACAAGGACGTGGCCAGAGCGTTCATGAAGGTGTTGGGGAAAGGCAAGAGTGAAGATTGAGTGACCTGATTGTCTCCATGCTTTCCTGTCTGCTTCTTTCCCCTCTTTAACACCCTTCTTGTTTTTCATACCATCTTAAAAATAGTATCTATTATATACATGTATTTCTTATATCCTATTTATGGACAACAACATATTCAGTTGTCAGAAAAGTGATGATGCATTTTTGCATAGAAAAAGAAAAAAATACTTCATGATATCTCCTAACCCAATAATTCTTCTATTTTACAGAAATTATTCAAATATTTATTATTTCTTATTCAATTAAGCTATGAGTATACTGTAAGGCATTTTTAATAAAGACATTATAGGTTTTTAAAAGTTATTTATTTAACTTTATTTATTAATAGTATTGTTTTCTTAAACTTCCCATAGAACATGTGTATTCACCATAAAGGGACAGAGAGAGAGAGAGAGAAAGACAGAAAGGAAGTGTCCAGATCCTTGATGTGAACTGTGGTCAGGCATGTAAGGATCTAGCACCTTAACTACCATGTCACTTGTTGGCCCCAACATTAGACATTTTTTAAAAATATAAAGAATTTTGAGTCTCGAGCTGTAGCTGGCCGCCGAGTGTACGTGCTCCGGGATTTTCAGTGCTCGCGGCCACCATCAACGTTGCTGGAGTTCCTCAAGACTCATCTGTGCCACCCACCCACCACACACTCTGCCATCATAAGCCGCCATCATGGTGAAGCTTGCTAAGGCTGGTAAAAATCAAGGTGACCCCCCAAAATGGCTCCTCCTCCAAAGGAGGTAGAAGACAGTGAAGATGAGGAAATGTCAGAAGATGAAGAAGATGATAGCAGTGGAGAAGACGTTATCATCCCTCAGAAGAAAGGTAAAAAGGCTGCCACAACTCCAGCAAAGAAGGTGGTAGTTTCGCCAACAAAAAAGGTTGCAGTTGCCACACCTGCCAAGAAAGCAGCAGTCACCCCAGGCAAAGAGG